GGAGGAAGAAAGGGAGCCCCGCGACCCACCGCCTCCCCCACACCACGAGTGGACCTACGAGGAGCAGTTCAAGCAGGTAGGAGGCATCTGCCGCCCCGGCGCACCGGCACTGGCACCCACCAGCACCCACCGCACCAGGCGGGCATCCCCTGTGTCCCCCCACGACTTGGGGTTCAGCCCTCCCTGAATAGGGTCCACTTATGCCCCCCGCTGCCCCCAAACCCTGTCCGCTTCCCACCCTAAATGGGCAACCCCACTGCCCTGAGCCCCATCCCGGTCCCACCCCAAGCTGACATTCCCAGTACGCCCATTAACCCCAGACACTACCGCCATGCCACCCTAAATGGGAACCCCCCCAGCCCCCCTCCACTTCCCCCAAACCGCATCCCAGGCTAGCACAATCAGTGCAACCCAACACCCCTGTCCCAGAGCCCCATCATGCCCAAATGGGTACCCCCTGAATGCTCCTCACTGCCCCTGTCCCTGAGCCCTATTCCACCCCAACAGGCATCCCCATGTGCTCCCCATCTCCCTGCCTCACGTCCCCCTCCTCCCCCATGTTCCCTATGCCTGTCCCCAGGACTGACAGCATGACAGGGTGCCCAGTGCCCAGGCACCTCCCTGTGCCCCTCTGACCTATGCAGGCTCCATCCCTGGTGCTTTCCATGAAGGGCAAAATGGGGTGACCCCTGTCTGTGGATTTTTTGAGGAGGCAGACAAGGGTGAGGGCTCTGGTGTGTGGTCACCCCAAGGAGCCGGTGGGCTGCACAGTCGAGCTCCCCCGTGTCTCCACAAGGGCCGGGGCGTATGATGGCTGATCGATGTCACTCATTGATTTCCTACACTGGCTGGAGGGAGCAGCACGTCGACCCTGTCACCTCACTGCCAATGGACATAGGGGAGACCCCTGTGCCGTGGAGATCTGTCACAGGGATAGAGCTCCTGGGGCTCATATATAGGGTGGAGGAAAGGTCTCTGTGTACTTAATACAGTGCTCCCGTGCATGGATCCTGTCCCTGCTGGGTCCACATGTGGCGGGTGCTGCTCTTTGCACAGGTGTGAGCATGGGTGTGAGCGTGGATTGCCCAGTGCCAGGTCAGGTTTGCGTTCCCCGTGTGCTCAGCTTCATCGTGGGAGAAAAGAGGGGTGCATTGGTGGCAGGGTGGGTGACGGTGAGGGGATTGGAGCAGGCAGATGTCCCCACGCAGCTGGTGTGTGGCTTTTTAGGATGGCTCTGCTCGGGACAGTTGCATGAGAGGACATACTGGCTCAGCCACAGTGTCACTGGCAGGAGGGTTCAGGGACAGAAGCAGGGACATGACTTTCTGGTGCCATGCGGCCATGCTGCTGCTGCCTTTTCTGTTTCAAGAATCCACAGCGCAGTCTAACATTTGGAGGGGCCAGGGCTCACGCCCCTGGACTCCTGCCTGCAAGGTGGCAGGTATGGGTGCAGGCAGGGCGCAGGCAGCTCATGCCCTGGGAGGCTGCCAGCACCAGACGCCTCGAAAGCAGCAACCTGGGGAGGGCTGGGGTGGGTGCACTGCGTAGGCCAAATATCTCGTCCGGGAAGTGTTACGTTACACCCCGCTGCTCAGAAAAAGGCTGACTGTCCGGTTCCCGGGGTCAGCCGGGAGGTGGGAAGCAGCTCCTCCCTCCCGGGCCTGGGGAGGCTTTCCACAGAGAAAGCATCCTTGGCATTTCTTGTCCTTCAGCCTCACGCCCTGCCCTTGGCTGGGGCTGTCTGCGCTCCCTGTGCGGGCAAGGAGCAAAGCCGGCAGCGCGGTGGGAATACCGGGGAAATGGATAGCAAGGGAGGTCAGTGTGTGGGGGGATAAATCCTGCTGCTGCTTCCTGGGCGGTGAGCAAGCTGGCTCCTTGCTTGCTCTCTTCTTTCTCCAGCCCTGATGGGAAGGGCAATGGGTCTCTGCTCTAGAGACCCACACGTGGGTTTTCCACTGGGTGGCATGTCCCAGCTGGCCCAGTAGGGTGTCCCTTATGGAAGTTCAGTGTCCCTTGGGTACACAGGGACAAGGGGACCTATTGCCTTCAGGTGGCTTATGTCAGATGGGACAGGGAGAGGGGAAAGGAGTTGCCAGGACCAGCCCTGCCCTGCATGGTGCTGCCCTGTATGGGGTGGCAGTTTGGGGAAGGCTGGGGTGCCGGGGAGACATGACTTTCTGGTGCCATGCGGCCATGCTGCTGCTGCCTTTTCTGTTTCAAGAATCCACAGCGCAGTCTAACATTTGGAGGGGCCAGGGCTCACGCCCCTGGACTCCTGCCTGCAAGGTGGCAGGGATGGGTGCAGGCAGGGCGCAGGCAGCTCATGCCCTGGGAGGCTGCCAGCACCAGACGCTGCCTCGAAAGCAACCTGGGGAGGGCTGGGGTGGGTGCACTGCGTAGGCCAAATATCTCGTCCGGGAAGTGTTACGTTACACCCCGCTGCTCAGAAAAAGGCTGACTGTCCGGTTCCCGGGGTCAGCCGGGAGGTGGGAAGCAGCTCCTCCCTCCCGGGCCTGGGGAGGCTTTCCACAGAGAAAGCATCCTTGGCATTTCTTGTCCTTCAGCCTCACGCCCTGCCCTTGGCTGGGGCTGTCTGCGCTCCCTGTGCGGGCAAGGAGCAAAGCCGGCAGCGCGGTGGGAATACCGGGGAAATGGATAGCAAGGGAGGTCAGTGTGTGGGGGGATAAATCCTGCTGCTGCTTCCTGGGCGGTGAGCAAGCTGGCTCCTTGCTTGCTCTCTTCTTTCTCCAGCCCTGATGGGAAGGGCAATGGGTCTCTGCTCTAGAGACCCACACGTGGGTTTTCCACTGGGTGGCATGTCCCAGCTGGCCCAGTAGGGTGTCCCTTATGGAAGTTCAGTGTCCCTTGGGTACACAGGGACAAGGGGACCTATTGCCTTCAGGTGGCTTATGTCAGATGGGACAGGGAGAGGGGAAAGGAGTTGCCAGGACCAGCCCTGCCCTGCATGGTGCTGCCCTGTATGGGGTGGCAGTTTGGGGAAGGCTGGGGTGCCGGCTTGCCTTGGGATCTGCAGGGTGGCTGTCACTCCTGACCCTTCCCTGTGATAATAAGGAGGGGACATACCCCTGCCTGGGAGAGACATGTCATGTGTGTGTGTGTCCCCCCACCCCGGTCCCTCCCCAGCCTGCAGGGCTGTGCCTCACCCAGCCTGGGGAACAGGTTCTCTGCTCTCCGCAGGGGCTGAGCAGGGAGGGTTGTCTGTGCTCTGGCTTTCACAGGTTTCCCAGGATCTGGGCTGTGATGCTGTGGGATACGGCGGGCAGCATGTGCTCACTCACAGGCTGCCTGGGCACTGGCAGTGTGGCCATGGGGGTCCTGGA